TGGTTTTTTTTCCTTTATTTGTCTAGCGATCGTCGTGACGGTGCACAGGATGCAGATAAGTGATCACGTGCACGGTGCTATGGCAGCTTGAAAAAATACCCGTTCTCATAAAAATAAGATTACAACAACAGAGGGAGTAGGGCTTTAAGGAGAATAGTTCAAGGGGAATAAAGCAGAAGTTAAAACAAAGTAGGTGGGCTTAGCCTACAGCGAATATATTTGCCTATTGCTTATCTTTCTCAATTGTCTGAATGCCTTAAACAGCCGCTGAAGTCAGCTGTCATGTTGCGCTAATTTTAACAGATGTGAAACTCTACGAGACCACTCTCGTGGTGCTGGATTTCTGACATCTGTTTCTGGCAACATTTCACATTTTTCTCTTGATTCCTTGTAAGTGCTGTGTTAGTATTGAGAAACAGGGAAGGGAGGTCACTGTTTGTGAGCTTTAATAAAAATTCAGTAAATGTATATTTTAAATCAACTGCATGTCTTACATGAAGACATTTACTCACCTAGTAAGTAGAAGTAGGATAGTAATTTTGAGAGAATTTAAATTTCAATCAGAGGGGAATTTCATTTTCTATAATTACGTAGTTTTCAGCAACAATCACAGAAATCCACAGATGTCTCCAAAAGACAACTCATACAAAATTGACAAGTGGTTAAATAATAATTGCATTTATTTCTACATATTTTATTTCATAAGTAAGTATTTTACTAAGAAGTGAATAGTTCCAGGATTCTGTTTTGTAGTGCAGAACAAACTTAATTTTTTTAATTCATCTTTACCATGTTCAAGCCATGATAGTTATCCTAAAGGTGAAATGCATCCTGGCTGGATATATGACATGTTTATTAATTATTTTTGAAGAAGAGAAAGTGAACTATAGAATAAAGTATGTGTAAAAGATGTAATATCTCTGGTATTGCCACAGGATCTGAATTTTATGAAGATGTTTTATACTTTACCAAATGGCATGTTGCGTTATTCTCATCATCACTAGTGTTACGTTTGTAAGCAGTAATGTAGGCAGAGGTTGGCTTTCGGTATTTGAAGATCCTGTTATGTCCTTGACTTTCACAAACTGTTGCCTTCTCTCTGTTGCCTAGAGAGAAAAATCTCTAAGCCAATTTAGTCTATAAGATAAGATAGACTAGGTCCTTTAATCTCATACTTGAGGCCCAGGGAATACACAGTCACTCACACTTTACACTTTCTAAAATTTTTGCAGCTAACTTTTCTGAGCAAGTGGTTGAAAGCTTTCCACCTGATATCTCTACTGGTATATACTATGGATGGGCCTGTGTTGGAAACGGAGATGTGCATAAAATGGTTTTGAGCATAGGATGGAACCCTTTCTATAGGAATACTAAGAAATCAGTGGTAAGAATTTTGTTTTGTGTGGGATTTTTATTGTAACACATGAGCCAGACGTTGAATTTTAATAAGATTAGCAGAATTTGATTCGTGAATGAGATCTAGGAATTTGCTCTTAGAAATTCATTTGATATCTATATCATATTTATATTCTATAAAGAATATACTCTAGCCCCGGAGTATAGAGATGTAGGTGATTAAAGTTTATTGTCTTCTTTCTATTCCATCATTTCTTCATTACTTCTAAAATAAAAGTATAACACTACTTGAAATGATGGTTGCTCAAGTTGCTGATAGCAAATTAAGCATAAGTTGATAAATGCATTGAATTTACCATTTGTGAGAGCCGTAGCATGAGCTGCAACATACTAGTAATCTATGCTTCTCTGCAGTGTATCTGCTTTTCGAATAAGAGATGTTAGAGCATCTTAATTTTTAATGATTTTTTATTAATTCTTCTCTTAAATTATGGAATCCATACATGAGGTGGTGTGGCTTGACATACAGAATAAATATTTGAAGGTGTGTAATAGTACGATGGAGAAGTTAAAATCCCGAGCTGTGATTTTCTTGCTATCAGGTGCTGGTGCTTTCCTGAGTCTTGCAGAGCTCTTGTTTTATTTATTGAAAAGAATTTTATTTGGGCATGAATCTCTGCTATTAAGTGTTTGTCTTAGGCAAATGTATACTCTTAAAAATGTATGCAGATAAGTTTTCTGAAGAAGTAGTTAGAAGATTCCCATATGGTAGCTCTGCTGGTATATGCTGTGGGTCGGCCTATTTTGAAGAGGCAGATGCGAATAAAATGTTTTTGAGTGTAAGGTGGAACTGTGTCTCAGCCTGCACTTGTTCTTGAATTTTATCATTAAATTCCCATGTGAGCTAGTTGTAAAAGCTCTCCTTAAGCCAACTGCTTCAATAAAAGTCTTCATAGTTATTTGAATGCATTAACTTGATGATAAAACGTTAAGCTTTTTTTGGGATTTCCTACCTTGGAAATATTACCTCTGAGAAGTGGTGAAGCATTTCTCCTGAGTAATGTCTCTCTGGGTTTTTTGTGGGGTGTGGGGTTTTTTTTGTTTGTTTGTTTGTGTTTGGTTTTTTTTGTTTGTTTGTTGGTTGGTTTTTTTTCCTTTCGGCTATCAGAATGCTCTTCAAATGAGTAGTTTTTTTTAAATTTCAGGCAAAGTGCAATTATTCTTCATAACATAAACTAAAGCCCTAGTGTTTTAATCTTGCATTGTACATGCTAAACATAATGTCCCTTTTATTGTTCTCTGTTGAGGAAGATTGGAGTGATGGATATTAGGTCTACATCCTTACAGAGAGGGAAAGAAACTCTTAAGTTCATAATAAATACCCACTTATTTTTCTTTCTTTAGGAAACACATATTATCCACACCTTCAAGGAGGACTTTTATGGAGAAATTCTTAGTATAGTCATAGTTGGATATATTCGACCGGAAAAAAACTTTGATTCCTTAGGTCAGTATTGGAGGTCTCCCTCAAATGAATCTCTTTTTTGTCTTTTATATCTTACTCATGAAAGTTCTATGTCTTCCCTGTGTCCTTCCATTATGAGATGTTTTATCTATTAAGTTTGAAATTTTAGTAAAATGTTTTCATTTTCTAAAAAACCCAAAACCATACTCCCACATCTTCCACTAGAAAATTATTTTTCAGTCACTTGTCTGTGGAGTAATTTTAAAATCAAGGACTTGTCGTAAAAGCATCAGTTGAATGTGTTAATTTCATTTTTAAATGCAGCTCTATTAGTATTGAGACAGAACTGCTAAAGTCTTTTAGAAAAGCAATTGAGTGCTTGTAACAAGTAAAAATACAACCCTGTCATGTTTAAAAAGCCCTAAGAATTCTGCCTTTAGACCTCATATTCTACTTCTGTGATTGTTGTTTGATATTTTGTGATACCCTATGGTTTCACTTCATACTGTGTTCAAAATTCAGACCATCTCTTAAATATCCCTGTTATCTTTTTCAGAGGCACTCATTTCAGCAATTCAGGAAGACATTGAAGAAGCAAAAAGACAGCTAGATTTGCCAGAGCATCTTAAACTCAAAGAAGATAACTTCTTTCATCTGCCGGAAGGCAAAATAGGAAACAACCACTGAGGAAACCAATACAGTTTTTTATTTGTTTGTTTGAACTTTTTTTTTATTTTTCTCCCCTATCATGGAGCCTTTACATTTGCACAGCTTTCATAGGTGCTTTTTTGTCATATATCTGTTAGGTAACTGAGATTGGAACCAATCATACAAGATGATTTCAGTTTTCTTTGGTTAATTCAACTTTAACCCAGTCATGGAAAAATGACTGGAAGGCTGTAATAAGTCCTTACTGTATTGTAAAGTTACCAGTTGTTCAGAAATTGGAGCACATTCGGAACATGACCAAAGTCAACTGTAACCCTCGAGTATGGATTCAGTTAATGAGGAATGTCTGATTGTATCATAGAGAATATTATTCCAGCTTCTTTTCAGTTTTATGTCATTCTTAGATCTGGATTTTAGCTTAGGAAATTTTGCTGTTGATTGAGTCAGAAATTTCCTGTGGTTAGATATGATTAGGTAACAATAACAAGATTAATTCTTTATAGGTCTTATTTTTTATATACTACATTGCTGTCATGGTTTAAGGTCTTGCTTTAGTTGAAATAATTTAATTTAAGTTTATTTGAAGTGGAGGAGATCACTGTTGCTCATTATATTACTGGAATCTGAGCTATACTTTTTCATAGTTGCTTGTACATATGACAACACATGACCTGTGTAGTTTACTGCCAGGGAGGTGTTTCATTTGAATTCAGGAAATGAATGACAGTGTGAAAGTCAATAAACTGTAAAAGTTCAGGGGCAAAAGATGCAGAAACAATATAACAAGATTTCTGCTCATTGGGCCTTAAGGGAAAATAGGTAGTGAGAGGCAAATTAGCATTTTATGTGCTGCTGGTCTTATGAGAAAATGGGGAAAATCTTGAGGTTTTTCACTGCACTGTCAATAAAGCGTCTGACTTCAAGGTTGGCATTATTGTAAGGCACAGAAAAATCTCATTAATGCTCTGCACTAAGTGCAGGTAAGAGCCAAAGTTTTGGCTGACCAAGTAGATGAGTACACAAATGAAAACCATTGGGGATTCATTGCATAATATATCAACACTGTAGTGGATATTCATTATTTATTACATGTAGTTGCAGACAGTACTACTCGGAAATGCAGGAATACAAATGGAGATTGGACTAGATGATCTTGGAAGATCCATTCCAACCCTAGCTATTCTCTGATTCTGTGATAGGTAAATGGAGGGAATACTGTCAGAATTGATAGTAATTTGGAAAGTGTTTCTCAGAGTTTGTAATGTGTGATTGGGAGCCCCTGGTGGTCTAGGGGAAAGGCTCTGCACTGTCACTGCAGAGACCTGGGTTCGATTCCTGGTCAGGGCCCCTCCCCGGGCAGATGGAGCTCGTTAGCCCTGTAAGGCAATCCATCTACGTCCTGAGGACCTCGCTGCCACCGTCCAAGCGTGCTTGGCCCCGGCAGATGAACCTCAGGATTAAAGGGTGGGCTCAGTTCCGCGCACACTGTGTCTCACCTAAAAAAAAAAAAATCCAATGCGCAGGCTGGAAGGTGTAAAGACCTTCTACGGTTCTTCGTTCGCGAAGACTGGCCATTATTATTAATGTGTGATGGCAAATCTGCTCTTGTTTTCCTCTGATAAATTTTTTCTATCCCCTGCTTGGTGAATGGAAGCAGGTAAGCTACTGTGACTGTCACGATCATAATCTTTTGACATTGGGAGTTAGATATACTTTCTTTTAAAGGAGAACAGAGATGATTTAGTGGACTTTTACTATATAATGTATTGGAAACTGTATTTCCAAAAAGTCTGTAAAAGGATTGTCTTACAAGGGTAATAGTTGGAATTTTTTACATTTAAATGGAGGGATGAAGGGAGAACTATTTTTTTTCGCAAAGAGTTTATGCATTCTTCAGATTGTATTAGTGTTAAAGTCATATATTTTACTATTTTTTGAGAATAAACAAAAACCACACTAGTCAACAAAGTGTGTTGTCAAGAATAGATTGTTGTTCATGGTGGTACTGTAGTTAAACACTCATAGCTGCCTTTAATGTTGTTTTTTTGCCAGTAATGTCATGTGTCAGTTGTGGAAACCATGGTGCCTTAAGCTGGTTGTCTGAATAATACTCATCTGTATCTGCTAATAAATGCTACTATCAAAAATTCAATTCACCATTTGGTTATAGAACTACTGTGCTGTGGATAGTGAACAGTGGCAAAGGGAAAACTTTGGAAGACTTGGTTTGCTCTCAAATCCTAGCTGAGGTGTGATATAGGAATTCACTGAACTGATAAACTGCTCTTTATGTGTTTGTCTTCAAATTAGAGAAAATGTTAGTACCTTCATTTGGCTGAGTATACCTGTCCATATTATTTAAGAGAAAATGTTATATATAATTGCTTAAGCTCAATGCCTAATTCCTAGCACAGTACAAAATTTATGAAGGGTTATATTTTTGTATTACGTGCAAATAATTGTATTTATTTTGGTTGATGTTGCTGCACTGTACCAATAACTAAAGGAATTGTAATTGACAAAATTATCCTTCTTGTCTGGGGTTTCCTTTCCATTGCCATTCCTTGCAATGTTAGTGGTCTGGGTTTTATGCAAAGCTTTGTGTAGGTGACTGCCTAAAATGCTGAACTGATGGAAGAGTAGTGGGACATTGTTCAACCTTCCTATTGTGTCTGAAAACTGGCCCCACTCTGGGGACTTCAGTGCCTCAGTCAGGAGCTAGAGCCTTAGAATTCACAGCCCGAAACCCCTGAATTGGTTTGTTTGTCTGTATACTCCCTTTCAGAGCTTTTTTAAAAGCTGCTTGTTTCTTTAAGGATTCAGATAGAAGGAGCTGCATTCTTCTGTGTTCTGCTTCAACTGTCAAACATTCATCAAAGATTTATCTGTTGCTTCTGAAAGAGAGTCAAACCTGTATCTTAAAACACATTATGATGGCTCTGGCTGCTTTTGGAAAAAAAATTCTCATACTTCGACACTTGGCAACTGTTTGTATGTTAACCTTTATATAACCTCTTCGTAGCATCGCTGAAGTTACATCAGGAAAGAGTGTAACACTTCGGGTGGTATATGTGCTAAGGATTGCTTTTATTATGTCACATATTGTGGCTTCTTCAATGTATACTGGTATCTGTCAGAAAACATGCTTTTGACAACAGACTGCCCAGGCTAGAGATGTGGATCTAAGAGTGAGAAATCCCCAAGCACCTGTATTGTTCAGGAATTTTCTGTAGCACTCAGTACTGTAACTTCCAAGCTTCTAATTTTTTCTACTAGTTTTCTTCTGGAATGAAATCAATATTAAAACCACCTACAATGTACTTCACTTCCTTTCTAGCAAAACCTAAGAATTGAGTCATGGAAGAGGAAATTATTTTTTTTTCCTATAGGTGTACGCTGCATTGGAAAGAGAAAGGATGAAGAATCTCTGATAGCTTACATTTTCTTTTGAAATCAAATTACTGGATTACATGAGAGGTGACTGGATGGTAAAACTGTGCAGAAGATGTGAATTTGCCTGGCCCTTTTGAAAGAGCATTATTAATAAGAGGTTATTGTCTAGGAGGAAAAAAAAATGCAGGTAGTTAAATCAGAGCTTAGGGCTTGGGAAACTCCAAGAATAAATGAGAATAGCAAAGAAAGGGTTCCAGGGTGTGGAAAGGAGAAGACAGAAAAAGGCTTGAGTGTGTGTCATTGGGTTTCTAAATGTATTTATTTCCTTCAGCACATCTTTCTTGGGGTGGTGTTTGGAAGAAGGCAAGAAGATAGAGAGAACCATTGGCTTTGTGGTAAAGGATTTGTGGATTTGAATTTCTTTAGGTATTTTTTCAGGACAGTGTAAGTATAAGTCCATAAAGTAGAAAGCAGTATCTAAAACTCATTTGTGCTGAGTTTTGAGTGTGTTTACTGTTGGTTTCCTTCATTGTACTGTTTTCTTTGAACTTTCTCCAGAAATGTTCGTGACTAATGAGCAATTCCCTCTGAGTCAGTAGCTCTTGGTCTAATGGCCTTTTATAAAATTTATTACTTTTCTTGGTCTTTCTGTGCACTCTCAGCAGGCAGTTGTAATTAGCAATAGGCTAAAACTGATAGGACTCTATGTATTTAGTTTGGGCATCCCTAACCACTATTTTTAAAATACCACTTAAAGAAAAAAGTTTCTCAAAATTCTCTTCCTCATACTGGGTCCTTCTAGTATTATCTGTCAGTTAGTTGTTGCTCTCTTAAGAAGACTCCTTCAAGGCAATTTTCTGCCATCTTGTCAAATACAGACATTTTCATCCTACCCATGTGGCATAAAGTCATGCAGTCTTCCTGCTGCATCTCAGGAGCAGGCTTCTCATCTGAGCTACCAGAAAAGCACTGCTTTTCTGGGAAAAAACAAAGATACTAGTATGGCTGCTCTCCTTCTCTCCTGCAGCTGATAAATACGAAACATGTTTGTAATGTTATACCCAAACCAAGGGAAGGCTCCTGGAAAGAACTGGCATTTGAAAAGAATTCAGAGGTCTTCATTTTTTGAGTACATACTCAGAAATGTCATTTTGTTCCAGTCTTACTTGCACTAAGGCAGACCAAATTATATTAAGAAACAGATTTTATTTTTAGAATGCTTTATTATTATATTGGGGGGAGCCCCTGGTGGTCTAGAGGTTAAGGATGATGCCCAGGTTCGATTCCCGGTCGGGGCCACTCCCCGGGCAGATGGAGCTCGTTAGCCCTGTAAGGCAATCCATCTACATCCTGAGGACCTCGCTGCCACCGTCCAAGCGTGCTTGGCCCCGGCAGATGAACCTCAGGATTAAAGGGTGGGCTCAGTTCCGTGCACACTGTGTCTCACCTAAAAAATCCAATGCGCAGGCTGGAAGGTGTAAAGACCTTCTCCAGTTCTTCGTTTGCGAAGACTGGCCATTACATTACATTACATTACATTACATTATATTGGGAGGGTTGTTTGATTTATTTTCTGTTGTTTGTCTTTTGGGTTTTTGTTTGGGGCTTTTTGTGTTTGTGTGGAGGCTTTTTTA